AACGATCTACTGAAGTGTTTGTGTCCCTTCGTCCAGCATACTCACCATGGAATCCTGATATTTCATGAATGTCAAAAAACTGTTCTGAAATAGTGCTAAATAGTGCCCAAAGGAAAAAAATAGTGCTCTTGTACTTGCGAAGTTATAGCCATAGTTCGATGAGTATGCTGGACGAAGGTTTCGCCCAGCATACTCACCTCCGTCCGGAGAATCTGTATACGCTTCAAACATAATTCATACTTCAAAAAATAGTTCCCAAATAGTGCCAAACGGTGCCCAAAAAGAAAAAACAGTGCTCGAATAACTTCGGAGTTATAGGCTTCGTTCAGTGAGTATGCTGGGCGTAGGTTCTACGCCCAGCATACTCACCTCAGTGCGCGAATATCGAACGAGCTATAGGTACAATTTACGTCTCAAAAAATTGTGCTTGAAATAGTGCCCAATATCAGTCCAATTTTTGCTTGACTTTTGACCTAGAAAACCATTAAATTTGATTGTAAACTTCTACATACATTACATTGAGTACAGTCGAATACAATATTATTAACTTTCTTTCTAACAATTTTTGTCTTGTGTAAATTATTAATTGTCTATGTAAGGGAGTATTTACTTTAGAATCGCAATATTATTAATTACACATTATTTTAATAATACTTTATAATAATATGATTAAGCCTTCGCGCGTCGCATGGGACCCCGGTAGCTAGGAACAATGATTTTATATATTTTGTCTAGATCACGGCGCTTGAAGGATTAAGATATCAAATGAAGTAAATCATGCATGAAAAATAAAGTTGCTGTTATTAATGCTTACATTACAACTGACAAAATTATTCAAAATAATCATTTTCCGGATCAAGGACGGTACCACAACGTTTACGGAATTGACCTGTATTCCTCATGTGATAAAGTTCAATATAGTGTGGCAGTAATGGATGCACGTACGGTCAATAGGTATGGGGCTTACGACGCGCGGCGCCCGCGACGCAAATGAATATGTTTATGTTTAAATACTAGATGGCGCTGCCCTAACATCTTACGATTATTAGACAAGACTGATCTGTATTTTGAAGGTGATAAGGGTCCATTTTGTGTCACAAAGCGACGCGCGGCGCCCGCGACGCTTTTATTTATTGGCTGCAAATGACTGTTTTTATTCAGACAAACACACAATGCAATGAAGTAATAGACTTCATTTACGCTTAAAGTTTCATTCATTTATTATTATTTATAAAATATATAATAATGCATTTAATCGAAAGTTTTTGACATGTGAGAAAATACCATAATTATTTCCAATAACATGAAGTCTACAATTAGAAAGTTTAATATTTTTGTCCAAAAACATGTGTCGACGACTGTACCCCATTTTACGTTAGTATGTAGAAGTTTACATTAAAATTTAATGGTTTTCTAAGTCAAAAGTCAAGCAAAAATTGGACTGATATTGGGCACTATTTCAAGCACAATTTTTTGAGACGTAAATTGTACCTATAGCTCGTTCGATATTCGCGCACTGAGGTGAGTATGCTGGGCGTAGAACCTACGCCCAGCATACTCACTGAACGAAGCCTATAACTCCGAAGTTATTCGAGCACTGTTTTTTCTTTTTGGGCACCGTTTGGCACTATTTGGGAACTATTTTTTGAAGTATGAATTATGTTTGAAGCGTATACAGATTCTCCGGACGGAGGTGAGTATGCTGGGCGAAACCTTCGTCCAGCATACTCATCGAACTATGGCTATAACTTCGCAAGTACAAGAGCACTATTTTTTTCCTTTGGGCACTATTTAGCACTATTTCAGAACAGTTTTTTGACATTCATGAAATATCAGGATTCCATGGTGAGTATGCTGGACGAAGGGACACAAGTGTTTCCATTTTTCGGAGAAATTTATGTATGCGGATGATTTGAAATTCGAAAGAACAGTCGAATCATTTCAAGATTGTATTTATATTCAGAGCGACATTGATAGTCTAGTCCAGTGGTGTGCCCGAAATGGCGTGTAATTGAATATAAAAAAGTGCTTTCATATTAACTCACCAGGAAAACACACCCTATAGACTCAGACTACCATATAGATCAACAAAATATTCGAAAGTGGATCAAATAAAGGACTTAGGCGTGGTTTTCGATAAAACCATGTCATTTCTACCCCATTTAGAGATAATAATAGGCAAAGCTTCACAGAAAGTTGGGATTTATTCTGCAAAAAACAAAGGTCTTTATAAGAATCGGTCTTTTATAGAATCAATCATTTAAAGAATTATACATTTCAAGAATTGGTCAATTATAGACCATGTAGTCATTTCGCGAATCAGTCATCCTTACTTCCTTACTAATATTATAAACCTGAAAGTGAGTTTGTTTGTTTGTTTGTTCTGAAAAAATGTCAGTCTGTAGGTCAGTCGTCCATTGAAGCTATTTGCTCGTTCCAAAGTGTAGATTCCTCCATAGGAATCTTTCTCCATAGAAGAACGAGCAGGAAACTCCATAGGTTACTTTTTTTCAATCAGGTTCACAATAGAGGTACAATTTTTGGTTACATTGTGTCGTTGGTTTTGCTTTTTTTGGATTTCATTGCCTTTTCAAAGTCAAATTCAAAGCATTTATTTCAATTAAACCATATTTTGGTACTTTTGAAACGTCATCTTTTTAACCGACTTCCCAAAAAGGAGAAGGTTAGCAATTCGGCTGTATGTATTTTTTTGTGTGTATGTTACGTGTTACCTGATTACTCCGATTTTTGTGGAAGAATTTTGATGATTCTTTTTTTGTTAGAAAGTTCATACTCTCGGGGTGGTCCTATTTCCATCAGGTCAGGATCTGATGATAGGATCCCATGGCAACAGAGGAGAACTTTTCAAAATTGTATAGGTGGCGAGAGCGTTTGTTAATTTTTTGATATAGTATTTGAAACCACTACAATTTGATGAAGGTATGGAGTTGATCTGATGATGGAGTCAAGAGACAGCCGAGAGAACTCCTCGAGGATTTGTAGCAATTCCCCGTGTTTGGGCTAAAAATATTTGTATTGAGAAGATCTTTCAATTAGATGACATGTAATTGTCATTAGGGGCCTGATAATAAATTAGTATAATAGCTAAGGGAACTCCTCAACGGTTAACAGTGTTTGGGTTTGATTAATTTGTAGTGATGAGAACTTTACGCCTAAATGGCTTGTCATTTTGGTTGTTGTTGTTGTTGTCCATGTTGTTGATTGTTGTCCATGGGCGGCGCTGATCGCTTTCCATCAGGTGATCCGTCTGCTCGTTTGCCTCCTATTCCATCATTATGGGCGTGATGATGTACAAGTATGATAGCTAAGGAAACTCCTCAACGGCTGACAGTACATACTTGGTGTTTGGACTTTATTAATTTGTTTTGATGGAAACCTTACATCTGAATGGGGTGTGATTGTCATTAGGAGCCTGGTGGTGAAGTAGTATTATTGCTTAAGGATCTCCTAAACGATTAATAGCTACTATTAACCGTTTACCTGGTGTTTGAGCTTGAATAATTTGTAATGATGAGAACTTTGCACCCATGTGGGATGTACGTAGTATATTGAGTCTATATAGCCTTGACTAAACTAAACCGAATAAAAATAAAAACAAAAACTGCGTTTAAATAACCGACTTCAAAAACCAAAACCTAAAGACTTGTTACCTGACAGTGGGTGGGTAAGCTATAGTACGTATCACTGATAATGGTTATTTTTTGCTTACAACTTGTTTGAGAGAGAAAGAGTGTGGTAAACCATTTTAGAATCCTTATTAAATGTGCCAACTTTTCACAGCTCCTTCCCCGTAGATGAAAGCTTGATAATACGTAGCCTATATATATGTTGACCCGACCGGTTAGTAAAATTCATGTAAAATTTGAAGTAAGTACATGCAGAACTTTTGGAGATCATCCCGGATATACATACAGACAAACAGACAAAAAATCTAAAACCGTATTTTTTGCTTCGGTATCGATAGTGGATCACGCCTATTTAAAAAATATTCTATGTACAGTTTTGACTTTTCTACGATTTTATTATATGTATAGAAGATACGCCTTTGAATTTTTTTATATTTTTCTGATAACTGATGGAACCTTGCCGATCACCGGGTGTCATTTGCTCGTTAACTTCATGGACACCCTGTATAGTGTAAACAATTCTTGGTTAACCGAAATAAATAAATAATAGACTGTAAACACTAGGCGACGAAATGTTCCACGTGCCTCGCTGTACATGTGGCGAGCGGCGCGGCGCGGCGCGGCGTACGGAACTCTTTCCTGCGCTCTTTTCACAATTACACAACTATGTGGGTAGGTACCTAGTTTTGTTTCTGTAGTTTTTGGGTTAGTGTTTCGTCAGCTGTTATTGTTGCGCAATTAATTGATTACAAGACGGAGGTGACGTCGTTGTCGGTCGATTTTTTTGTTTACTCCCATACCAATAATTGATCGTTTCAAATAAACTAAACGGGAATGCCATACACATTTCATAAAAGTAAATGAATATGAAATAATGAGCTAGTTAAAAAATTGGTTAAAATGTTGCGAAAATTAAATTGAAGATTTCTTTTCACATAACAACAATTTGTTAATCATTATTTGTATCGTAAAAATATAGTAGAATTTCCAAGAAATGAGGAGGAAGAACTACATATTGTATCACTTTGATGCTGTGCCTATCCCAAATACGAAAATTATTGACAAATCCACAAGAAAATCAATTCAATGCAAATAGAGGCTATTCTGTAACTGTCAAATTCTAACATTCGAAGTGAGGTCTATCGCAGTCTTGCCCGTCATTAGTTGAGATTATTCTCACAAGTAATTAGGTACATGGCCTAAAATAGGTAGGGGAGACCGAGGAGGATTGTGACAAAGTAGAGTTGTGACAAAGACGATTTCTCGGAACTTATGACCGTTAGCGAGCTGGCAACAGCGCACGACTGTTTGTTAAGAGACGCGCTACTTGACTCAGTACGCGCCAGAAGCCCACGACAAGCGGTTGCGTGTGTGTGACGTCCGCATAAAAAAAGAAACAAAAAGTAAGTTTTTTATTAAAACAATTATTGTATTTATATCTTCGTATCTTATATTAACGTGGCTGAGCTATTTTTTGTTATGTTGTGTGTTATTTAGACTTTGAAAGCGTGGTATTGTTTTGCTGTGTTTGCATTTCGTTTCCAAATAAATAAAATGTTTTTTGACTTGGTCGCGATATTTGTTACCTAGGAGAGTTGTGACACGTTGTCACAACTCTCCTATTTAAGTTTATTATGTGGGTAGCTTATTTTACACGCTTTTTGAATTGTTTTTTGGTTTGTTTATTTGCATGTTTGTATGCTTTGATCATTTCTTACTGTCTAATTTTAATATTAAAAGTATTCGGCTATTAAAGTCGTCTTAAAAATATTTTTTGTCAGGGATTTACTTAGGCATGTGGTTTTGGTATTGTATGCTGAGTTGCTGTTTTTCTATTTCAGAATGCCAAATAAGTATACACGAAAGACTGATAGGGGTATGGCTAGTATCGACATTTACGAACTAGCCTTTGAAGAAGTTACGTTGAGGGGTCAAAGTCTCCGAAATGCCGCATCTTCTTACAATCTCAACTACATGTCTTTGCAAAGATATATTAAAAAGAAACAGGCTTTTCAAGATAACGCAACAGAGGTGATTCCGTCCATGGGTTATGCTAGTCCAAAAGTTTTTACAGATGAGGAAGAAAACATATTATGCGAGTATTTATTGACATGCGCTGCATCCAATTACGGGTTGACAACTAAAGAAACAAGAAGAATTGCGTTCATGTTAGCAAAAAAATATAACAAAAAATATCCGGCGTCATGGGAAAAAAATGAGATGGCAGGAGAAGTGTGGCTTAAATTGTTTATGCAACGACATCCCAATTTATCTTTAAGATTACCACAAGCTACAAGCATAGCTCGCGCAACGAGCTTTAATAAAAGTAATGTGGATGCTTTCTTTAAGAACTATACTGATATTTTAAACAAGCATAATCTTGTAGCAAAAGATATTTGGAACGTCGACGAGACAGGCATTACAACAGTTCAGAAACCTGACAGGGTTATAGCGCGACGTGGAGAAAAACAAGTCAGTGCGATGACATCGGCGGAACGAGGAACCTTAGTTACTATGGCTTTTGCTGGAAACGCAATAGGTAATTATATACCGCCTATGTTTATATTTCCACGTAAGAGATTCCAAGAGCATTTCATTCGTGATGGTCCGACTGGTTCTGTTGGAACCGCTAACGGATCGGGATGGATGCAGGAGAATGACTTCCAGTTTTTCCTTGAGCATTTCAAAAATCACGTTAGACCGTCAAAAGAGAATAAAACTCTGTTGCTCCTAGATAACCATGCTTCGCACACAGCTTTGAAGAATATTGAGTTCTGCAGAGATAATGGGATTATTTTACTGACATTTCCCCCACACTGCACACATAAGCTGCAACCTTTAGATCGTGCTATATTTGGGCCTTTAAAAAAAGCAATCAATACAGCTTGTGATGATTGGATGCGCTCTAATGCGGGGAAAGTCATGAGTATATATGATATTCCATCCATAACAAGATCAGCATTTAACGTGGCGATCACTGCAAAGAATATCAGTGCTGGTTTTGCTGCAACTGGAACATGGCCTGTTAATACTGATATCTTTGGAGAAGCCGATTTCCTGCCCAGTCAAGTCACTGACCGTATTTTGCCAAATCCGGAACCAGAGCAATCATCAAGCGTTCAAGAAACTACGGCTAATGTAGAAAATAGACCCTACACTCCAAATCCTACTATTGACACCGTTGAATTCAATGAAGCAAGAGCTCTTACTCAAGTTACATCCACTGATCAAGCCACAACATCTATCAATCAATCTTTGCCAATTAATAACGCCAATGAACCCGTCGCCTCCACGTCTAGAGCTCGTACTCCTCTAGCTACTACTTCTAATGTGTTCTCGCCAGAATCAGTGAGGCCGTTGCCGAAAGCTCCGCCTAGAAAAAATAACCAACCTAATAGGCGCAAGATAAAATCGGCTGTGCTTACTGACACACCTATAAAAAATGAAATAGCTGCCATAGAAGCCAGCAGGAAGATTAAAAGCGTGAAAAAACGCGTTTTAAACGAAGGAAAGGTTGTACCTAAAAAAACCAAAAAGACTAATAAGAAGAATGCAAATGATGCTGAAGAAGATGAAGAAAATGATTATTTTTGCTTGTGCTGCCTCGAACCTTATGCCAATAGCAGATCGAATGAGAAGTGGGTTCAATGCTTGGAGTGTAAAGGCTGGTCTCACGAAGAATGCACTGGGGGCGAGCTGCAATACGTCTGCCATAATTGTTTGTCTGATTAGGTTAAGACTATTGACTGATTTTAAAAATATTGATCTCATAATAATACCATAATTGTTCAAAAAAATAATTTAATACTTTTTTTATATTCATATTTGTTGTTATTATAATTCCTGCAATTATTCTTAATAATAATTAAAGTTCCTTTATGCAAAAAAGTGTGTTTTGTTTATAATTAAAGTAAAAGTAATTCTATTTATTAAATTGTAAATTTATTAAATGCTGTCACAACTTACCTTGGTTCTTGTCACAACTTATATCGGTGTTAGGAGAGTTGTGACAAAGGGAGTAGTTACAGTTTTGAAGGTTTTTTTCAAAAATCTTATATTATATGTTGGCTTTCATGATTAAATCTAAAAGGGTAAGGATTGAGCTATAACGTGACTAAAATCCATAACAGTCGTATGTTTCTTTACTGAGATATGTGCTTTTAAGTAAAAATTGTCACAACCTTCCTCGGTCTCCCTATCCCCCCCATTTACTTAGAGACTTTAGGTACTGAAAAAACTTTGAAGTGTTTCATAATATTGGCCTTACCTAGTAGGACAGAAATATGAAATGAGTCACTATTAGCCGAACATCTCAATATTGTCTAGCCAGGCGCAAGAAACAGCTCTTACAATGGAGTTATTTGCTGTTGCTAGACTAGAAGCTAGGAATTTACCTAGACAGTTTCTTTTGTTTTATTTATTTATATTGTTAAAGCATCAACAGTATACATATTTTACACTTGATATTACATACTAGCAATACAAAACGAAATCTAATATGCATGCCAATGACAGATGTACATCTATCACCCTTCACACAACACTCACGGGATCATAAGCTCCATGAACTCACAATAATATTGAAATAGCCAAGAAAAGTCAGTAATAAATCGTCTGAGCCTTCACTACGGTTGTTATATTCTGAGTATATTCGTCATAGCGATGAGTTCCGCGCTACATGGAATGTATAATGTCGTGTGGATATGATGAGATGCCAACATCAGTCCTCAAGGAATACATCGAGATACTGACTGGACCACTGTCAGACTTTTTCAATGGGTGTATGGAAGCTTCTTTGTTCCACTCTTTCCTAAGCAACTGAAGATCGCTAAAATTATACCTAATTATACAAGAAAGGATGCAAAACTGATCCAAAAAATTAAAGGCCTGCGTTACCAGCTGTTTAAAAAATATTTAAAACAAGTTTTAAACAAAAGTCATTATTTAAACCCGTAACAAATACCTTATATTACCTAAGCTGTGTACAATTATGACAGCTTATAACCATGACCACTAACCTAAGTTATATTTTGTTATGGGCTTGTGGCACCGACTTCTAACCTATCAGAGGTTGGGTAACCTGTAAGTACGTATGACAAATAATAGTTATTTTTTACTATTTAGTATGACCTTTTGCTTGTTTTAAGGTTTTGGTTTACGAAGTCGGTTTTTTAAACGCAGTTTTTGTTTTTATTTTTATGCTTTTTAGTTTAGTCGAGGCTATATAGACCCAGTATACTACGTATATCCCACATAGGTGTAAAGTTCTCATCATTACAAATTATTCAAGATCAAACACCCGGTATACGGCTAATAGTAGCTATTAATCGTTTAAAAGTACCCTTAGATATCGTACTACTTCATCACCAGGCCACTATTGACAGTCTACCCCATTTAGATGTAAAGTTTTCATCGTTCATATTGAGCATATTGTATTTGTAAACTTGCCCCCAACCCCTTTAAAAGAGCGCGAGCGAAGCCATGGGCAGAAGGTAGTCCCTGAATAAAATTATGATTTACACATACCGTAGTAATTTAGTCCCTTTCATTTCTACACTAGAAAACTCTGGACTCTCGACAAAAAGTTACTACTAAATTCCTGAAGTCTGCTTAGATTTTTTGTTTTTTTTTTTTATGGCATAAGCCGGTAATCGAGCTGACGGATCACCTGATGGAAAGCATTCGGCGTTGCCCATGGACACCTGGAACACCAGAGGCGTTACAAGTGCGTTACCGGCCTTTAGGAGGCCCGGGGATTAGGAGTTTGAGCATCGTTGGGGATTCAGGAATTGGGGAGATTGGGGAAGGGGAGGGTATTTGGGCCTCCGGTAACCTCACTCACAAGATGAAACACAACGAAAGCGTTGCTTCACGTCGGTTTTTTGTGAGGCCGTGGTATCACTCCGGTCGAGCCGGCCCATTCGTGCTGAAGCATGGCTCTCCTACACTTGATAAACCCAAATTCCATTTTTATTAGAAACGTAAATCATTTTACACGCAAGTTTACTTCAAAAAAGTTGAAGTGTAATGACGTCACTAAACGTTGATGGTGTTTTGAAATGCGTTTCGTTTTACGTAACATGTAATTCGTAATTATTCTTAAAAGTCAATATAATTATAAAATGCAAACGTTGAAGTACCCTTCTTTTATATTTTTTTACGATTTTAATCATAAAGTTTTCATAAATATTGCCTATTGTGTACTTGCCAACTAATCAAATTCAATACCTAATTTGTACGCGATTGTGTATTGGGACGACACGGTTTCTTAGCGTCAAACACCATACTTATTTCTTTAAAAAATGCTGGAAAAATACTAAAATTAAGTTTATCATAAAATCAATTAATGAAAGTGTGATTATTTTTAACCGACTTCCCAAAAAGGAGAGGAGGAGGAGGAGGTTTTCAATTCAGCTGTATGTTTTTTTTGTTTGTATGTTACGCGATTACTCCGGCGTTTGTGGACGGATTTTGATGATTCTTTTTTTTGGAAAGGTGATACTCTCGAGGTGGTCCCATTTCCACCAGGTCAGGATCTGATGATGGGATCCTAAGGAAACCGAGGGGAACTTTTCAAAATTGTATGGGTGGCGAGAGCGTTTGTTAAATTTTTGATATAGTATTTGAAACTACAACAATTTGATGAAGGTATGGAGTTGATCCGATGATGGAGTCAAGAGACAGCCCAGGGAACTCCTCGAGAATTTGTAGCAATGACCCCGTGTTTGGGCTTAAGTTACTTGTATTGAGAAGATTTTTACATCTAGATTGGATGTAATTGTCATTAGGGGACTGATGATGAAGTAGTATGACAGCTAAGGGAACTCCTCAACGTTTAACAGTAGCTACCTGGTGTTTAGATCACAAGGCAGATCACCTATGCGCTGGACTGATCAAGTCAAATCGGCAATGGGAAACCCAGTGTCAGACCGCGCCAGACAATCCACAAACAGAGAGAGATGGCGGGAGATCGTGAGGAAAGCTGTATCGGCCACCAACACAAATACGGCCGACTCAACGTGACCACGACCGCTCTCCCAAGAGCAAAACGACCGAGAAGAAGACCTGGTGTTTGGGCTTGATTAATTTGTAGTGATGAGAACTTTACACCTAAATCGGGTATGACTGTCATTAGGGGCCTGATGATGAAAGATTATGATACCTAGGGGAACTCCTCAACGGCTGACAGTAACTGTAGCTACTTGGTGTTTGGGTTTTATTAATTAGTTTTGATGAGAAATGGGGTGTGATTGTCATTAGGGGCTTAATGATAAAGAAGTACGATAGCTAACGGTACATAAATGATTAATAGCTACTATTAACCGTTTACCTGGTATTTGAGCTTGAATAATTTGTCTTGATGAGAACTTTACACCCATGTGGAATATAGGTAGTATACTGGGTCTATGCCTTGATTAAACTAAAAAACATAAAATAACTATTATTTGTCATACGTACTTACAGGTTACCCAATCTCTGATAGGTTAGAAGTCGGTGCCACAAGCCCATAACAAAATATAACTTAGGTTAGTGGTCATGGTTATAAGCTGTCATAATTGTACACAGCTTAGGGGTTTAAAAAATAACTGTTGTTTAAAAATGATGGCACCGACTTCTCACTTATAAGTGGGTGGGTAACCTATAAGTACGTATGACTAATTATGGTTATTTTATGCTTTTTAGTTTAGACCTTTTGCTTGTTTTTAGGTTTTGGTTTTCGAAGTCGGTTTTTTTAATCGCAGTTTTTGTTTTTATTTAATATTTTTTTTTGTATTGAACAGTCGAAATAATGTATTTTTGATAAAGGAAAGTACCCAATTTAATTCCCGAATAATAAGGTAGATGCCTAATTTTTATTTTAACGTCCGTCTGGTAGGTTATTTTTAATCATTAGACACGTATTTTTTATTTTCTTACAGAAACGAATACTTCCGGCGATATATTGATTTGAAATGTCGCGTGCATCTTACAATAGAGCGATTTAAAGAAACTTCGTACTCATTTCAAGTGGTCGCGGTATATCGCTATCAGTATCGCCTCATATTCACACTCTAGCTGCACAATGTGAAGTGAGCCTTACAAATAATTGCGTATTGATGATAGTTGTAAAGTAACGTTACGTTCTTCTTTTTAACCGACTTATCTTATCTTTTCAGGTAAGTTCAAGATTCGACTAACCTGTCCTCAAGAAGAGAGATTGTCATACGCTACGATTATGTAAGTGATGAGTAATAGCTTCAGACTGACTCACGTTGTAACGACCTACTCAGCTACTCAGGCCGCCACCGGAGCCGCAGTTGACAAACATAACATTTCATGATAGGAAGAGGAAATTGGAATAAAAATCGTTCATTGGTCGTATATAAAGTTCTTATTTAAATATTAGCTGACTATACATAACAGGCTGCATATTTGAAACAATTGTTATCTTCATTATTTTTTTAATTATAAAACGGTTTTATTTACCTTGACTCTTTTCATTGGGTGGAAAGGGCATTGACAATTTTGGTGCTTTTTTTTTCTGGCGGCAGTCGATGATTTATGGAAAATATTATCTTACTTAAATAATTACATTACAAACGAAATTGTCTATCATATATGGAAATCTTAGTCTGGACTGAGGTATGAGCGTTACAAGGAGCTGGAGTCAAACATTTTACCCAAGGTAAAATGTTGTTTTTTTATTCAAATTATTCATATTTTTGTCACAATTTCTAACTTCAAATTGCGCGCCACTGTTCGTCGGGCACAGGAACGCCATATCACTATATATATTCTGGCAATATTTCTGTATGTAAAAATAAACAAATCTGGCACATATATATATTCTGATATATTCT